TAGAATTTATAACAATACAAAAAACAATTTGGTTTCAGATAAATGTATAAAATGAATATTATTCCTCTGCAATTCCACAGCTTTCAAATAATTAGTAGGAAGCTAGAAAGATGCACAAACATGAAGAAAAGTTAGATGTATTCAGAATGATGAGTAGAGCTGTATTTGATTCTGAAATGACAGAGGAAGCTGTTTACCATCCAGAATTAGGTTTTAATAAACGGAACACCCAGAATGCTTCATATTTAAAACATGGTGATCAAATGTTGAGGAAGATAACTTGATTTAAAGAAATGATGGACATATAGTATAATGTAGTACAGTGCAGTACAGGATAGTATAGTATAGGATAGAATAGAATAATATAGTACAGTACTGTATAGTATTTAGTAATTTAGATTGTATAATAATCAAAACAACAAAAAAGTTACAAATATTTCCTTGAAATATTGAATAAAACATCTAGCAATACCTTTTTTATGTCTAGTAAAAAAAATCCACATTACATACATTATTGTAATATATAAAATATTGCAAATTATTCATTCAATAAGATTCAGAACTTTTGAATGGTGGTATAAAACACACCGTCATCAAAGCATTCTAAAACTGATGTCTTTTCCCTTCATGAGCATGGCTGTGTGAAGTCAGAGTGCTCTGTAATAGAAAGTTTTGCCTCTACTGGAATCTTTAAACTGTAAGTGATTGCACAAGTGCTACAAATCCCTCCATATTTCAAATACAAATCTTTAACACCTATATAACACAAACTTTTGCATGTTTTCTGTCAAAAATGTAGCTTTAATACATTCTTAGCATATTAAAACCCCATGTAATATTAACAGACCTCTAAAAATAAATAATTTGATCCTCACATTGGTGTAATGTTCCTTTTTATCTCATTCCCTTACAGCAGCCTTTAAATACCCTTTGTACCTGTGATATGCATGCAGTAAATCAGGAAAAGAAGACTAGAAATATGTTGCTCTTTACATTCATATATAACTTAATAAGATGTAAGATACTCAATAAGATAAGGTAATAAGATACTCAACAGTAATCTTTGCACATCACTATAAGGTATGAGGATGGATGGGTTTATGTTGGCTCATGGCAAATATGTGGTTTTGTAAGGAAAGTAAAAAGTTCCACGCCGACATTCCAAGATGTCGGGACTGGGAGGATCTCCAGGTGTTTAAAGAAAATATGAAGTCTACATACTCTTGTAGGGTGTGACAGTGGATTTAATTTACACCCCCTTTGACAGAACAAAGAGACAACAGCAAAACAAAAATACATGTGTGAGGTGAATGTGATTACTGTAGGACTTAAAAGTTCCCGAAACAAGGGATGGGCTGTTGGAGGGGTGCTATGGGGCCTGCAGAAATATTTTAGAAGTTGTGTCTCTATTTAGTGACTTTTCATTTTGTCAATTTATTAAATCTGCTTTGGCCATTTCTAAAACTAGGTGGTACGCAGTTAAAATTGTAGATATTCCTTATTGTTATTAAAATGAAATATGTGCCAACCTACCACAATTGATGGCCACACTAAACAATTTATCTATAATGTTATAAAACAGGCCCTTATCTCTTTTGTAAGTGCAGGTGGGGGCAGGGAGAGAGGGGGCGCAAGGTACTTGCTATGCACAAAAGGCGCCTTTGACCCAAAAATAGTTCAAGAACTGCTGACTTCAAAATTAGATCTGTTGATTCATCTTACACGTGGGGCATTCAGAGGCAAAATAGTCCCCAAAGAAGACTACTTTTTTTCAGATTTTCTACTATTTCAACTATTTCACATAATAACTGAAAAGATGTGTGTAGGTTTACTGGTGGTTTTGGAAAGTTAATAAAGTGTGTATATTTGTGTTGTAAACATTGTGACACCTGGTTCCTATCATCACCACTGTAAAGAAATCCGGTTCTGTAACTTTCTCTACAATGAACCATTTCACATCAAACCACTCTGAATTACTTTGTTTACTTCTTGGTGATTTAATTTTACAGATATTTTACAAATTCGTGGAGTTCCACTTTAAGTTGCTTCCCTTTAAACTTTTCTGACTGTATTTTGTTCACCACTCCCACCACCACTAGATGGTGCAATTAATGTAATTTACAGAGGAAAAGGTTATGTTACTGATTAATGTCAATACCTTATCTATATGATTCGTGATCCATCAAAAGAAAGAGCATAAAAAGCAAAAAAAACAAAAAAAACAAAAAAGCACACATTTACACTTATTTTTTCTTTAGTTAAGTCAGTAGAGCTTGGGCATAATTCCTCTGTTTCGGGTACTAGGGTAACAGACGGCCTCCGAGGTGCTGACTACGCTTGCTTATCAGCTCATTGTTCTTTTGGCTAATAAGCTAGTGAAGGTACATTGATGCAAATATAATGTCTATGTTTGCAACAATGCCTCATGTCATGAGTGACTATCAGATCTGACTGCGATTTTGAATGCACAGCCCTGACTGGATAATTGCATGTCTTTGCTCATACTCCACCGAACACATTTGTTCCCCTTGATTGAGCAGTAGTGAACTCTTGGCCAATGCAAAGTGGCTGTTTCTGCTTTACAGACCTCGACCATCATCGCTATGAAGAGGAGCTGAAGCTAATAGGGGTTAATTGCATATCCCTGAGCCTTCTGCAGCTGACACAATTACAAATGTTCTATGTCGTTTCAGTGAGTCAAGGACATGAGGAAAAAGCCATATTGATCAGCATTCTGTATACAGCTAAATAATGATTATTGGAAGTTTATCTTTAAAGGGCATACATCATATTACTTCAATTTTATGTAGTATGTACACATTGTATCAAACAAGTACCAAAATGCACTATTAAGCTTATACAGACCATGTATGAATCCTAAGCTGCAAAAACAAACTGTTCTGAATTCATTGTTTTCATGATGTCATGAAAATTAACATTCACATCTTCCTATGTATCCTACAGCAGTTTAGCTCTGCCATTCATGGTGAAATTATAAGAAGCATTTCAGTACCTGACTGCTTTGAAAGAGGTGCAATAAAGGCAGCTAATCAGAAAAGAACTGATGTATATATATATCAGTCTAAAAGGCACAGTAACAAAACCAGCTTGTTTAATGCTGTGTGAAAAAGAGAGGTTGGAACTGGTTATGTAAAAAATAATTACGACTGTTTTTTGGAACATAAAACCACATAAATATATGTGTGGCTACTCCAGAGCGTCCCATTCTATGGACAGTGCTTTTATATGGAGATTATAAGATATAAGCTCAATTGAAAGCCTTTGTCAGCAATTTACAGTACCTTGTAGTAGCAGAATTCACCAATTAAAACAGGTGTCTGGATACTTTTGGATATACACTGAACAAGCTACAGTACATCTCTTTGAAAAGCATACCTAGTCTTGGTCTTTCTCTTGCTGTTCCTGCAGCGATGCTCTAGTGTTGTTGCCATGGTTAGGCTTTTACTCAAACAATCTGGCCCAGTGGGACATGCTCTGATCCCTGTTCACTTGTGATGTTGCGCGGTCTTGTGCTTCATCCATTTTCTTGCTGTTTTTCTTGAGTGGAGCTCTCGAGTTGGAAGCTGCTAATCAAACAACAGTGTTTGTACTAAGATGAGATGTAGATTACTTTGATATTGCACCTATTTCCTTTGGTGCAGTTAAGCTAAATCTAAAGAGGCCTCACCCAAATAGACTGGGCTTGAAGAGCGCATTTGTACATTTACAGTATTAGCCTATATGTGTGCACATGTGAGGCCTAATTCAATTTTTATTTCTCCTGTGGTTATTGTGTGTTATTCCTGTGGTAACATCATTTCCCCATCCCCCACAGAACCACATCCAAGGGTGCACACATAGCTTGTGAATATCTACAAGAATTGTATACTTTTTTCACTTTTAAACATCATTAATGCTGGATTTTTGCTGCAACAGATTCACCTTAGAGATGATCTTCAGTCAAGACATTTCATTATTTTTATTGGTCATTGTTGCCATTGTGTCTGCTGCTCTTGCAATAAATGACCAGTAAAAACATGACATCTGAGAAACATTCAGAGCGGCACAGTAACTTCGAATTTCCCCCACCCAAATGGCTTGCTCAGACGATGGAAAGATAGGTGTCTTTGCTGTTCCGTTAAACAAACTATTTGTGCATCATGATAAATCCTTAAATTCTTCTTATGGGCCAGAGCAAGGGTGATGACTTTTATTCAGAACAAGAGCTCAGTTATATTTGGTCAGGACACTCCTGTAAAAGAAATTTTTAATCTCAGCTACATTTTTCCTTGTTAAATAAAGGCAATAACATTTGTCCATCCACAGATTCCCACAGAAACCAACCTCCACAGCAGGCTCTGACACTATTAAACTCTGCTTGGGAATGGATGCAGACTGAGGCAGAATGTTTTTAACTATAAAAATCAAATCATAGAGACATGCCTTTACTCATATTTTTGTTTGTTAAATAAAGCCCATAAACAATATTTTAACTCCATTTCCCATGTATGGTAACATATGGAATATTAATGTCCAAAATCTTGTGGCATGTTTTTAATGAAGGAAATTCACTAGTTCCCCCCCTCAGAGGTATCCTTTCTCTCTTAGCCCTGTGACAGTGCATAACAAAAAGTCAAGCATGCAATTGCTTAACAATTTAGAGTTTTCTAGAATACTTTCTGTGAATAATCTTGTACCACAGCTGGACCAGTCACTCCTAACTAAATAAAAATAGGCTAAAATGATCAATGCTAAAATAATCGATTTCAGCATGACGCTATCTTTTGCCTTTGTAGCCTATTCTTGCTTGAGTGAAAAGGGTTTAAGATTTACTCACTATGTGCCAGTTATGTTTTATTAGATGCAATGTTTTTAGAAATGAATGAATGAAGGAAGCTAAAGGGACGGTGTTCAACGTGCGTGTTTGTGCTGCAGTGAGCGGCGCTCCTACAGCGAGCCCATCACTACAGTTTCACTGGGATGGGAATGTATCCCGGCATGCTTGACAGAGAGACTCGAACGGGGAAGGATGATGAAGTTAAGATGGCAGCGCAGCTAGGGGAGCTGCCTGTCCGGGCGCAAGAAAAATACAAGGAACAAATGAAAACAACGGACGACAGCTCGCGTTTTTGAAAGACTTCTGCTTATACAGTTGAAAATGAATATTAGGTTTGGCCTAAAACATTGTTCTCATCGAGGCGAGGGTTAAATCGCTATCTCGAGAAAGCAGCTTATTTCGCAGTTGCAGCAGCGGCTAACGCGTATGCCGAGATCACTGCTGGGGTGAGTGGAGCTAGTGGATGTAGCTAGCGAACTGCTACTGGACGGTTTTTGTGTTTACGTCTCGGATATATGGGGAGTGCTGTGTGCTTTACGACGGCTGGAAGTACATATTGATCGCCAACTGGTGACATATTGGTGTGATATATGCATTGTTCTCCAAAACGATGATGTGTGCTGCTGCGGCAGCTGGAGCCGGCGGTGGGATTCTGTCCTCCTCATCCCCCTCCATGGGGCTGGGTGTCAGGGTCATATCTGGAGCTGGGAACGATTTCTCCTCTTTCGGAGCCGGTATGGGCTCGACTCCCACTCCAGGGGCTCAGCCGGACTGTCGGAGTCGATACCAGCTTCTCCTGTCAGGGCGAGCTTTGGCCGAGAAGTACAGGAGGATTTACACGACCGCTGTCAACGACAAAGAACAAGGCTTAAACCTTGGGAGGTGAGTTATGGCTCGTCAGGTTCATCTTGGAAAATGGACTGTCCCGCGTCTGGTTCTGTAAACAGTGGAAATAATTAGATTTGTTTAGCCAGCGTTACACATGTAACGTAACGTAACGTTAGCAAGCTAACGCTAAATGGCTAACGAGAAGCGAAAGCGAAGCCACTAGAGCAGTCAACACGAGCAAAGGTCTAGCCCACACCGCGCTAACGTTGGGGAGGTTAGCTAGCGGGCTGGCAAGCTAGCGTTAGCTAGCTAACTTCCTTAGCTACGAAAGGCTAACACTAGCTGCCCGGTTTTGTTTTGTTTTTCGTCATTATGCCGGTACAAAGAAAAGCCTGTTCTTTTCAACTCCCTTACGTTCACAGTTCATGTGCTGACACGTTAAGAAAATCAGGTTAACGTTACTGAAACCGTGCACAAGCTCGACAAGTCCAGCTAGTTGGCCGGGCTGTCTCGGCCCAACAACAGTTAATTGAATAAGCAGCTAGCAAGACGGTCATTCTGCAGGCGTTGCTCAGCCCATGCCATATCTTGTTTAAAGTATTATCTAAGCGTGTCAACGTTAGCCGAGGTAACACCCTTGTTTAAAGCCGGCAGTTACCGAAGCAACATTACCTTGATAGCTGGTTGGCTTGCGAGCTAATAACTGTTTAAGCTAGCAACATTTTGATGACAGCGTAGCAGACGCTCTTGCTGAACAAGCTAGCTCTATGTTGTTATCGCAAAAAAAAACCACATTTTAGCCCAGTGTCGTTTCTCTAGCTTTCTGTTCTTTTAATCGTTTTTTTTTATACTGGGGACACTGGATGCGTGGGCCTGGCTGTATGTCACTGGCTTGCATTTGGGTAGGTTCGTAGTGTATCAATCCGTCTCAGGCGTAAACTACAAGGAGGTTTCGGTTGAGTTAAAAATGGTAATTGAATGAATCGATGAAGCCTGGTGTATTTATTTGGGAAATCAATGCGCACAGGCCACATTCATTTTGTTAGCTTGCGCAGGATTGAGCGCGTTTGGTCTTACGTCACCCTGTTCACATCGGGAGAGCTGAAGCACCGGCGGCCTTTACAGCGCTTCTGCTGCAGGAGCTGCCACATCCGTTAGACCTGCCTGCACGTTTACTGTGACTTTAGGGGCAGTCTATAAACGCAAATATAGCATTAATAAAGCTATCCCAAACAGAACGTCATGTACAGCAGCAGTGTAAACAACGGTAGCTCATTTGCATTACCCAGATAAAAATGCGCTGTGTGTGCATCAGGATAAAACGCCGGGAGGATTTGTGTCCTTCCCTGCTCGATCAGTTGGAGTTTGCATGGTAAATCTCTCTGGCACAGAAGCTCTGGCCTGTAGAGCCAGGAATTCTAGTGGGGGTTGCCCTTGTGACAGCACCCAAACAAATTCACGTTGCTTGAGTCGTGCGTGTTACCAGGTTACTGTAGCACATTTAAAAGGCAGCGGGGACGAAAGGCACCAGACATGTTTGGGTGTGCAGATCAATACTTTGTGAATTCCGTTAGTTTTTTTCCTCATTTGTCAGTGAAGTGTACTATTTGTAATGTTGCCGACTGTTTACTCAGAGAGGATCTTTATTAAACCAAATATTACCAGGTGCAAAAGAAGAACCGGTAATTCAGCTTACCGCAGAATCCTTATTATGTCAACATTTCTAAATATTTGCAGAATTGCGCCATTTCAGTGTACATTTGGAGCCAGTTTCTGTTGTTTAAATATTAGATACTGAATTATTTAACCGTCACTGTGTACTCGTGTACATAAATATTAATGTACTTCCTATTCTCTAATTAGTTTTACATCTTCATCTTCAGCCCAGTCAATATAAACTAAATCACTTGGTCAAATGAAACGTGGTAAATATGTGTTGCAGTAAACATTTTCTTGTGCAGTGAATATTTATTACAACAAATGTTGATGACAGGATGGCCCTCTGTTCTCAAGCTTATGTTAAGGAGCTAAGTAAGATTACCCAAGTAAACAGTGTTTTGTTGCCTGACACAACATTTTTTGTTTGAAATACAGTATAAACATATGAACACGTTTCAAAAATGTTAGCCAGTGTACTAAGAACATTTACAACAACTACCCACCCACCACCCCCCCAAAAAAAAATCAAAACACTTTGCTGTCCTACTGGCCAGGACTTGAACTGTGTAAAACAATATGACAGATATTTATTAGTGTCTCTAATGTTTATAGTCTGATTCTAAGGATCAGTCAATCATGAACATTTAAACATGCGAATCTTGGGCTACACAAATTCATATTCTCCCTTGTTTTTCGTCCTTGAAATTGAAAAATAGACTGCATTCTGTCTTACGCTTTGCCATCTGTTTTTATTTGTTTCAGGGGCAAGAAAGCTTTGAGTAAGAAAAAACTGAAGAGACGGCAAAAGGTCAGATCAAAAGTCAAAACAAGAACAAAGGTAAGTTTTTTGTTTGGGATACTAAACTGTTTTCTTATGGGAAAATGTATATATTTTTTCACTATTGGTAGACTTACGTAGACGTACATGTCTCTCTGGTGATGCTGTTTAAATAAACCTTAATGTTTTGGTTTCTTTCACCTTAGTATGTCAAATTAGCATTTTACATACTAAATTATTTCCATTTTTCCCTGGAAATTGCGGAAAGATGTACTACATGCACTTCATATTTGTGTGAACTGTGAATCTCCATGTCTTTTTCTGAATTGTATATGAAAGCTTCTATGTTTTAGCCTTAACTGATTCAATGAAAGTCTTTCATTAAAATGACATACTAAATATTATAGAATAACTTTTGGGATATAAACCTTTTCACCTCTGGGTTTGAAGGTTAAAAGTGCAAACCTTTGGGTTTATGTCGTTTCTTCTTTGGGTGATGCCCACAAAAGTGACTTGCATACTGATAGCTCCCCTTGTGGAGAAAATTCAGACTGCTAAACATGCGTGCATGAGTGAGCTCCAAAGCCACGCCACCGTACTTGACATATTTAGAAAAAATTATTAGCATGATATTTTCTAGTAAAATAGCGTGATTATTGATTATATGGGCGCAGTCCCACTCTAAACAAGTACACATGGTCCTCTGCAGCGTTGACCTACTTTCTATTCTGGTTTAGTCTACATGCTTTTTTTAACATTAACTGTTTACATGATGATCTTTAATAAAACCATAAATTACATAATATGATACTGAGGACCCAGCTTCTTTTTTAAACTACTTCACTTGTCGTTATAATGAACGTGGCTGCTAACGTATATGTTCATGAGCTTCTCCTGGTGCAGATTTAGGGCAACTTGCATGCTAATAGCCCTCACTTTTGGAGAAACTTCAGACTGCAAGTGATTTCCAAAGCCATGTGCATGTGCTGCAGGTATTAAGAAACAAGACGTTTTCTGTCGTTACAGCGGCATTTTCTTAATTGAGCCACTGTGACACTTAAGCTGTACAGAAAATACTGCACATTTTACTCAGTAAATCGCATGCAGCAGAGACAGTGGGAGTTTACTGGTAGCCTCATCATAGGCCCCATTATAACTCGATGTTTTAACAGTAAAAGTGAAAAAAACATTATGTGCATATTTGCTTAATGTTATTACCTTTTTTTTCTATCCTGTTTCCTGGCTGTAAATGGGGATCAGAGCAACTTTATCTCCAGGGTTCCAAAGCACGTCAGCATTTATTTTTGGCTCCATGCACCCCAAGCTGAACTTAAAGTAAAATAAGTAGAAGTTGAAAAGCCGTGAGGTAAAGCTAGCATAACAGCGCGTAGCAGTGAGAACTAACAAGCAGCTTCTTAAACATCTATCTCTCTCTATCTCTCTCTCTCTCTCTCTCTCTCTCTCTATCTCTCTCTCTCTCTCTCTCTCTCTCTCTCTATCTATCTATCTCTCTCTCTCTCTCTCTCTCTCTCTCTCTCTCTCTCTCTCTCCCCCCTCTCCCTCTCTCTCTCTCTCCCTCTATCTATCTCTCTCTGTCTTTCAGACAGAGAAAATGACTATTGATGAGCGTACCTCTGCACTTATTAAAGCAGGGGTCGGCAATCCAAATGTTAAGAAGAGCTATTTTGTCCTTTCAACAAAAATTAAACCACCTTGGGAGCCACAACAGTTTCTGTCTATTTTACCATCTTGACTGTACATATGTCTCAGTAGTACTAGTATAGGCTAAAAATATAATATAAATGGAAATGCAGGGTCACTTTGCTCTGCTTTAAGCTTTAGCTCAGCTATAGCTGCTTTTCTTGCATCTCCAGCAGAAAACTTTTCCACAAAAGTAGAATAGTTTCTTGTAAAATGTCTCCCAACGTTTGACTTTTTCTGAGGCTGAAGTCAGCTTCTTGTTCGCTGGCTTCTTGTTTACATTTTTCCGATTCCCTCTTAAATGGTGCCTGAGGTGACAGAACTGCTTCACTTTTTAAGGTGGAATGGAAAAATTCTAACAAGAAGCTGGCGAATGAGAAGCTGACTTCAGCCTCATGACCTTCCAGTGTTTGACAGTTTCTCTTTGTAGATTAAATGTATCAGGAAACCAGCTGGAGTGCTTATAAACGCAAAGTCCACTCGTCACAAAATTATCGATGTTCGTCTTAAATCTCTCTCTTTGCCTTTTTTGTCAGCTACTAGTTAGGCCAGATTGTTGATGTTGCTATTGTGATCAGCAGTCTGCGCACCAACCTTCAGCGTTAAAGGGTGAATTAGCAGTTATACATTAACTCCAGCGTTTAAGACCATTTATCGTTAAAATGGTTAGAACGATCGGCAGAGCTTTATTTTACTGCAAAGAAGGATTATTTTATTTCACCTAAAAATCTAATTCTGTTGTGGAGCCGCAACAGGACAGTAAAAGAGCCAGATGTTGCTTACATCTTAAAGGAACAAGAACCTCAATTTCCTTATATGTTTACAAGCTGTTTAACGTTAGATTGGTCCCCTGTTGCTTTTCCAAAACTGTGGTTATCGCCTTTTACACATCGTCAACGTTACCAGTCCATCATTAATGATATCTGATTACATCACCCTTTCTCCCAGGCCTGCTGCCATCAGTCCTAACAGCGGAGACACTCTGCAGTTCAGCTGTAGTTGTCTGGGAAACCATGAAGTGTTCAGTTTTCATAAATTTACCACTCATCTGAACAATCCGGCTGCTTAAGCTCGATGGGAAACGCTTACAATGTTGCGCTAAAGAATAAAACGTTCAAGTACATATTATTTAATATTATTTCGTAGGGGGTGATGCTGCATTGTGATATTGCAATACGAAACTTTGACAATGTCTTGTGGAAAATGGACATTCTGTTAATCATGCAGTCTAATGCAGTTGCATTGTTCGAACACCAATTTTGCAAACAGTCAGCACCAATCAGCAAACTCACTCCTCCTGCCACCCAGCTCTAGTGTTGTTAGTAAGTTGTGCAACAACGTGTTTATTGTCAGCATTATTTTTCATTCGAATTTTGTTCAAAATATTATATTCAATATCGTGATTCTCAACGCGACGATTCTCAACATGACTATTATTGCCTTGTTAGTCATCACCGATATCCAGTTACATCGCACAGGTCTAATTGGCAGATGACAATTCTTGTGCAACCTTTGTTGGTTGTGTTATCAAAAAGACTTCAGTTGTTTTATTATGTTTTAATTAGTCTGCTCGAGCTGAGCAGATGCCAGTAAACACTTGCACACATGGAAGAAATTTGGGCAGTGACTGGGTCACGATTGGCTGTTGCTGGGCGACCCGTGTTGCACATCTCCACAGCAACAGCTTTCTCCATCTCCTGCTCTGAACACCTATAGTGTGCCAGTCAGCAGGGTTTTACATCTGTGCGGAGAGAGTCTCTCAGCACAAGTGTAACAGATCTTGTACTAGATGTTTTTTTTCCCGATTGTGTGTGTGGAGCATAATTCTTGCCTGTGTTTGGATGTCCCTTTTCCGGCACTTTTATTTTCCCAAAGGGAATAAGAATGGCTCACGGGAAGGGGCAAAGGAGATTAACGTGATTGTAGCAGAAAGCGGGCATTTGCAGCAGTAATTCTCCGCTCTGAAAACCCGCTGGCTTTCTGCTTCTCTCATTGCTTCCCTTCTCTCATGTCACTCCCTGTCTTTATCCGTCCCTCTGTCACTTCTATGGCGTGCTTTGTTTGCTCCCAAACAGACATGGGTGGAGTCCTTCACAGAGGGAGGGTTTGTTTTGAAGACAGAAGATGCTGTTTAAATAACTTGAACACTACAGTGTGTAACTGCTCCCTCTATCAGATGCAATGACATTCTTCCTGACAGAAAATGTTTGGTTTGACCTATTTTGCATGGGGATTTTTTGACAGCCTTTTGAAAGCAGCATGTACCACTTGTATTGCTCACTTATTTCTTTTTGAAAAGATTTCCCCAAAAAGTTCTGCAACATTTTGCTGCATTGTACATTTACTGAAGTCTTGTGTGAAGGCAAATGAAGTAGTTAATGTCTCTGCCTCAGCAGAGTTGGTTCGCAGAGAAAGGTTGACTTGAGTTGGTTTCATTTTAGTTTAGTTTTCAAACTCTGCATTTTGCTTCTGAACAGCTGTAATGCATGCTGATTAGTTTCACTTTCCCTTCTCAAAGATGTGAGTGACAGAATTAATAAAGTATTTCAGGAAAAACTGGGATGCTGGAGTGTGGTTTGGCTTTTAGGGGACACTGGGGCAAATGTAGCTTGTCTCTGTCATTTACTTACTTCACCATTAAACATTGTGTACGGTGCAAATTCAACTTGAAAGGCTCACTGTCAAAGATGGCACTGATCCAGATGTCTGTATCGGGCCGATATAAGCAGAAAATGCTGGGTCAGTTATCAGAGGGGAAAAACAGAGTGAATCTGATCCTGTGCTGAAAATATTGCCTGAGATAGCACACACTTGCATTGTCATGTCATGCAGTTTAGGGATGCACCGATGTGGGAATTAAGGGCCGATGAGGCTGTCTGATATTTTTCCTGTATGTATCTGTCAATGGCGACACATAAACCTTTATAAAAAGTAGAAACTGGTACGACATCTATGTAGATTAGCATTAATTAACTAATTAATGAAGTGCCGTCCTGGCGACCGTATGGAAAGTGTTTTTCCATAACATCCTGTTTTCTGTTTGGGCCTTCAGGCTTCTGAATGGCTGGTTCATGATTCCACTGATTGTGTCAGTTTGTGTTGTTGCTGGTCATTCTCTTCATCTTTTACCTTCAGCTCTTCCAAGTATGATGGTCTTTTCCAATGGATTGGTGCTTCTTAGAATATGTCCAGAAAAAGGTAGCTTCAGTTTGCTTATGTAGGCTTTGAGTGAGAGGTGAGGCCTAATTTGTTGGAGGATACATTTGTTTTCTTTACTGGCCAAGGCATTCTCAAAATATAGCTTTTATTTGTGTAGGGTTACAAATGCAGTACAATGAATACAGTGCAGATATTTTAGC